CCCCCCTCCCTGCTTAGGCCCCTGTAGTGCGTGTCACGGCTGTCACACCACCTGCTCGCCCGCCTAGTCGTGGCCCCCGAATATTTCTCCGTTATCAGAATGTTCAGCAGGTGAAAACGTGAAAACCGTAGCGTATATTTCACACGGCGGCCCTCGCCGACTGGCTCCGCGCTCGAGTGTGTGCGTGTGTGTGTGGGGGGGGGGGGAGAAAGAGCGAGACTTGCTGCGTGCCCTTGGGCCAAAGTAGAACTAGAGGACTCCTTTGTGCACAGCTTTCGCATAGGAGCTGTTGCAGTCGATGTGATGCCGGAGCAGCAACTATCGCAAGTAGTCACACCCACTTCCCAGTAATCAACACCGTCATTCTGCACTTCGTTGGCTCCGAAAAAAACAAGCGTAACTCCACCAGTGCCGGAGAACAATAAGAGTAACTGGCACAAGCGCGGAGAACTCGAGTAACGCCTGGCTATTTAGATAGGGAGTTACTCAAGTTCTCCGCGCTGCTGCCAGTTACTCTTGTTCTCCGGCACTGGCAGAATTACGCTTGTTTTTTTCGGAGCCAACGACTTGTAATTGTTACTCCATCCTTTGTGTTGCCTCACTGTGGTTCGAAACTTTTGCAGAGCTTAAACACTCTCAGGTGCGGCCAAAGCAACCGTGTTAAGCAAATATTGATTTATGGATGTGCAACAGAAGCATTATTACAGGATTGTTGCAATCACGTTTGTTCCTCAGAGCTGAGGGCTGGCCTGGTCAGACCCGCTCCGGCCCCTCTTCCCCCTCCACCTCCATTTTATTCGTTTCGCTGCAATCGTTTCGCTGCATGCGCCGCTATGCCTGTTTCACTAATAACTTGTGTGATATTCATGGCGCAATTAACTGCGCAAATAGACGATGCCTTCGCACGCGAAGTAACTGTTAAAGCGCTTGCTCGCTGTAAGTACGAGCGACCACACCGTCGGCGCCAACAAAAAATTATTTTAGTTGTGTGCATATTAAAGGGTTTCGCGGGGGCAAGGAGGGACTGAGGGAGAGACGCGTCTGTTGTACGACAGCTTTGGTCTTTGTGACCTGGGCAGTATACCGATTGAGAGGGAGAAAGAGGAAAGAGGCGGTCTTGGGTGGGGGGGGGATTCTCCAATTTTGGCTTACAGCCACGCAGCAGTATGGGTATGGGGCAAGGTTAAAGCTGATGCCCTCAAGACCACCGGCGGGTGGGTGGTCAGGTTGGCGCGAGGTAGGCAAGCGCTCCACTCTCATGGTCACCTGGTTGCCTACCCCGCCATCCACAGGCGCACTAGGTGGAGTGGAGACACAGCAGATCAGATCGGATCAGATGGATCAGATGAGAGACAGATAACGGACAGGCAGATAATCTAGGTGTCACATTTGACACCACTCTCAAATGGAGGCAACACAGCAATAATGTGATAAGAAAAGTTTTCAGCGCTCTGGCGCAAGCCAGGAGGCATTTTGATTGTCTTCCAAGCACTGTTAGACTTCGCATTGTACAATCTCTAATATTTCCTGTGTTGGACTACGGTTCTGTTATATTTACTGACCTAAGCAAGACAACATCTGATAAATTGCAAAAGGCCGAAAACGCCTGCATACGGTTTGTGACAAATGTTAAAAGGTTTGAGCGCATAACTCCATCTTATGTAATGCTTGATATCTGCAAACTCTCTGACAGGAGAAACATCGCAATTGCTACACTAGCCTGGAAAGTTCTAAAACTCAATGAGCCTGCATACTTACGAGAAATGTTTGAATACTCAGCACGTCACTGTGATAAACTGGTAGTTCCTAGTCGTAATACTGTAAAATATTCTAACTCATTCCGTGCCTGTGTCGTCCGACTGTATAATAATTACTCTGTTCATAATTTCATAAATCATAGCAACGAAAACTCACTGAAGCAATACTTAAAAAACTTAATAATGAATAGCTATAAGCAATACTGTGATATGTAAACACTGTAATCAGCTTTACCTCTTTCAACTTACTCACAAATTTGTCAATATTATTGTAGAGAGCGGTGCGGTGCACCCGTGGGACTCTAAAGTCCTCTTGTACCCACCTTAATCAATAAAAACAATCAATCAATCAACAATCAATCTCTCTCTCTCTCTCTCTCTCTCTCTCTCTCTCTCTCTTGCGGCGGGGCCGTACCGTAAGGGCTCCGTTGGGGTCAGTTGATGGCGACTGCGACAGCGGCGTTGCTAACCGCGCCATCCCCGCCACTCTTGTGATGGCATCTCACGTGTAATTTAAAAAAGATGGGCATATTAGAGAAAGTCTAAAAATCTTTCGCTTTGCATCATAAAGGATCCGTTCCGTAAACGCAATGCTTTGTACAATTTTCAAAGTGCGCCTCTTTGATTTTTTAATTATTTTTTTTACAGCCACTGTGAACAATATCCTCGTAAATTTACTAAATTTGTTATAATTTTTATTCACAAAATATGTCATAAATTTGCGACAGCCCA